TGTTAACGAGAGAAAGATATAAGATATTCAAAGGGAACATTCCAAAATTGTGTCTGAAAAAAGGCGGGAAATTTTACTATATTCTTTGATATCAAATAGTAGTAACATTGCAATTGACAACAAGACGGCGCCATTTTGTATTTCATTATATGCAATAGTTTACTCGTGGTTTTATAACGTCCTCTGCTTGAAATGGTTGTCATTATGGAATGAGAAGTAAATCTGATAAAATCTTATCAATGTGATCTATACATTACATTCATCCCTGTGAGGATGTTAAAGTTTTCATCGAATTTTAATATATTTATGTTTTTACATTTTACTAGCAAAAGATACTAAACGCACCTACAATTTCAGTGGACAGCCGATTATAAGAAAGAGATTAATCTATGTCAAATAAGACAACATTCGCTAGTGCTCTCATTGACAACTGACGAAGTTATATTGCTTTGCTGAAGTGCTGATATAGTGACAGGGTCAAAAAAAAAAATCGATTCACATAGAACAAACATGAGTCCTGTTATCTCCAATATGTGTTTTACCCCCTGGCATGGCTACGAAAATATATCACTGTTATGGATACGTATATTGTATTATTGTAGCAATGCAATGTTAGGATATTTCCTATAAAGATATATATAAAGTTGTAATTACTTACCTCCTAAATGGTACAGTACAAATGATATTGCACACACACATAAACACTGCCATTCGGATATATGTTTGTTCGTGACGATAGCAGCAAAGAAGCCAGTAGCGGACACTACATAACAGAAAAATGCTGCATACTGGAGCCCAGCAAGAGGAGTGGTATCTAAAGAATGAGTGTAAAACAAATGCACATACTTAAATCGGTACATAAGAAATAGCTCACAATATAACACCATTATATTTGAGAAAATATCTTAATTGCCATTTGGCTTTATTTCATGAGTTCTAAACAAGGAATCTTTGCCATTTTACAGTCGCCCTTCGTAATCACGAACTCATGAAGCTCGGAGACCTTTATAACTCGAAGTATTCCCTCAAGCGCCTCCTAGGATTAAAATTAAGGGCCATTCGGATCACTGACGTGTCAAAGAAGAGCGAAACATCTGTATGATTAAGTTTGATTCAGATTTTAGATCTTCTATATCTAATTATGAATTTGGATCAAAGGTGTTTTTTTATGTTCTACCTGTATATTGTTCCATTTTTGGATAGCAATATCCCTGCCTCTCCAACATATGCTATTTACATGTCACAATTGATTCGATATTCAAGGGCTTGTTCCCATTATCACGATTTTCGTGCATGAAGTCGTCAACTGACTGACAAACCCCTAACACCATTGTTCAAAAGATGCAGGTTGATGATAATCATGGGGAAGTCTTATGGTCGCCATAGTAAATGAGAAATATTCTTTTTCCTTGCACGACATGAAGCTGGGCGTATTTGATGCTCGTTAGTTTGCCTGATGGCGGATGTCATCGATGAAGTAGATGACGCTTACTCTTCCGAAACACCTTATTCGTGTTCTCCTTATAATTTTTCAGGAGTCTCCGTGTAAATCTTTCTTTTGTTCATATTTTGCTCTAGTTTTATATAGTTTGAATTATGAATATGTAGCCATGTTGGGATTTTCTTGGTTATTTTGTTACCGTCGTTATTGTATTACCTGTAGACGCAAATACTTACTTATCATTTGCTATATAACAATATAGATACATGCTTTTAAACGATAAAATATATTCACTTCATGACATGGTGACTCTATGACAATGAATACATTAATATTCCTGGGGATTATATTCTCGCCATATCGCAATACTTTACCAGCTCGCAAATGTAATTTGTCAGATAACAAGACGAGCGTGTACAAGTTTACATCCAGATCGTGAACAATTCTCTCATTTTACAAAGAAAATCACGATAATTTTGACAGGTGAAATTGACCAGTTATAGGGTAAGCGACTTTTCAAGGAAACGCAAAGCATAATTATTAATACTTACACTTAACCATAGTGAGACATTCAAATAACTCGGGAAAGTCATCCGCAGATCCAGTTCTTATGTCGAAACTAGAAGTACATTTAATTTGGAACAGGTCAATGGTATTTGTATTGTTCCTCAGGTTCTGTTGGCACCTACAGCAACTGTCACGTAAATGGTTAAAATCACAAGAGTCTACTTTTATCCAGCCTGAAGTGTGTGTCCCTATACTGTTTAACAGGGTGCCGGTAAGAATAATAACGCAGTAAAAACAAAATGTTTTGCAATATTCCGGCACTTTCATTTTCTTGCTAACACTGTTTTGCTCTTCAATAATGTATATGGTGATAGTCCCTTTGTCATTACGTTTTTCGATTACGGGTTATTTTACCTGTAGTGTCACCTTCCAACATCGGTGTGTCGTTATCTACAAAACACACTAATACGTAGCTCATGTGATATTTGCAGTCCTGTAATAAACAATTTAAGATATATCTACATGTACGAAAGAGATAAAAATCTCTCTGTGTGTGTGTGTGTGTGTGTGTGTGTGTGTGTGTGTTTGTGTGTGTGTGTGTGTGTGTGTGTGTGTGTGTGTGTCATGTGTGTGTGTGTGTGTGTGTGTGTGTGTATGTAGAAAAATATCAATATGCAAAGTAAAATATTAATACTGTTCCACAAATACTGTTTTCACAAATTAGAAAACATTTCCATTTTACACGTGGTATGATTTATTTTGTTGAGTATATTCTAATATATTTTGTGTAGACAATACACCAAATTTTATAATGGTGATAAAATTATTCTGATTTAAAATTTATATTATGAATGGTACATTAACATTGTCTTTCTTAGTTTTCTATTCCAGGTATATTTTATATCGTAAAATACTATTATTTTCTTGTCAAACCTTTAGCGACTAATCTAATATTAGCGGCTGTTCTTGGTGTCTAGTAAAAATAAATACTTGAAATATGATGGTGATGGTCTGGTGGCGTAGTGGTAATGCACTCTCCAGTCATCTAGACGTCTGTGGTTCGATTTCTCGTACAATCACAGTATGATCACAGAAGAGTCCTAGAAGGACGAAACAGTTGTATGATGTAGCATCATTGACGAGTCCTACAAGGTCGAAATAATTACATGATGTAAATTATTGACGAGTTCTAGTAGGACAAAACAGTTACATGGTGTACCATCAATGACGAGTCCCAGAAAGACGAAACAGCTGTATGATGTACCATCAATGACGAGTCATACAAGGACAAAACAGCTGTGTGATGTAGCATCAATGACGAGTCTTAAAAGGATGAAACAGCTGTATGATGTAGCATCACTGACGAGTCCCAGAATGAAGAAACAACTGTAGGAAGTAGCATCAATGACGAATCCTTGAAGGACGAAACAGCTGTATGATGTAGCATCACTGACGAGTCCTTGAAGGACGAAACAGCTGTATGATGTACCATCTATGACGATTCCTAGAAGGACGAGACATCTGTATGATACAGTTTAAATTGTTGTTTGGCTCTACTGTATCTATCTCTAAAATTCAAAGGTGCTGTTAACTTGTGTGTCTTTCGTACAATCATACAGTAAAGCCGAGTAATACATCTTGTCCTATTGAAATAGTAGTAGTCATGGAGCACACAATTATTAGAATATTAAACTAATTCTTAATTAAATCAATAAATATGACAAAAATATAACATTAAATTTCAGTTCATTGGCAACAATGGAACTGGAAAGAAGTTTCAAATGTCGTTTTCAAAATAGCGCTCATACCTGATTTCAGCCCTACCTGACAATCAACACGTGGATCTCAGGATCTCAGTAGTGGAACATGATAAACTCTGGCTATATACAGAGTTATCATTCTAGTAACTTAATCCTTACTTTCAATTTCGACTCCTTGTGATACATGTGCCATCTACTGCACTGTGTAGAGCAGGTAAATACAACGTGAACCTCTCCATCAGCTTCGTTGTATTTTCCTGTTACTGTGAGGTTCGTCTGTAAACCTATTATTATATTTCCTGTGATGCACTAGACATTTATACATCCTATCCATTGATTATAAATGAATATACATGTTTACTTGAACTAACGTTCTGTTGAAATGATCTGATCTGATGTATGAAAATTATGAAATTTAATTAAAAACAATCCGTTATTTAATTAGTGCACCTTACCATCTTAATCTTAGGTTTTCCTTATGTGTCGCTTAATTTCAGAAAAAATTACCAACATGCCAACATGGGCATCATTTGAACTCAGAGTCATTATACCAAGTATGAGACCAGGTGTTCCGGAAGAGAAAGCGTCTTCTGCTTCATCGACAAAATTCTCAAATGAGAACAATGTATACGACAACGGAACCAACAGGCAAACTAACGAGCATCAAAAAGTCCAACTTTATCCCTTTCAAGTCATTTAAGGATGATTCAGTTGTATGATTAAATTTTGGCACTATTCTATCTAATTCTAGATTTGTATTAAAATTTGCAGTTCACTTGTGTCTTTCGAACAATTTTTAACTTTGTATTTTGAATTTAGTTGCGCTGCAAACTGTTAAATCATATTTCTGTGGCAGCTTATGCGCCATGCTTCTTCTGTGGTGTTTAAAAATCCATTACTAAATGTGATTTGATTTCATGGAGAAATATCACTGAAACAATACTACTGTTGTTTTGGAGTCGTGAACACTTGGATTGAAGAATTAAGAGTAAAATAAATAAATCTCCACTAAAATGTATGGGTTTAGATGTTTATTCTTTTATTTCAAGGAGGACACAACATTTCATACATAAAGAGAAGATAAGTATGCGATCTATGATATGAAAGTAAACTCCTGTTAAACCCCAAACATGACATTTGTATTTTATTTTATTATTTGTACGATTAAAGGTCACCTGTTGTCGTCTTGTTTATTTATAGCATTAAGCACAGTGTAGCCTCTCAGCCAGATCCAAATTTTACTGTTATTTGTATCATATCCTCACAAGGATTAACTACAAGCCTTTTAACTCTCAGCCAGATCCCGATTTTTGAGACATTTGTTCGCTAATGTCACAACTATCAGCTACAAGGCTGTTCCTTCTTAATTCTCGTCTGCGCATCTTGGCCATTCTACCCTTTTCTTTGCTAAGTGAATAATATGCAGAGAAATTGGACGAAATAACGGCAATGGGCATAGAAAGGATCACTACTCCACTGACGGCGCAAACTACTCCCACTACGTAACCAAGCAATATGGTAGGAAAGAAGTCGCCATAACCAACCGTTGTCATGGTGATTATAGCCCACCATACCCAAATAAAGAAGCTATCGTTTCCATCCTTGGCTTCCAGCTGCACAAAGAACAACATGTTACCAAATATTAGGGCAGTTATCGCAAATGTAAGTATCATCAACAACAACTCTAAAAGACTTGCACGAATACTCTTAAGTAACACACGTAATGCTCGAAATTGGTTCCCGAGTCTCAGAAACAACAACAATCGCGTCATGGTTAGAGCCTTGCAGGTGAAGAAAAAGTGTCTGGCTGTCGGGCTAGTAGCCATTTCCTGTTTGACGAATTCCATGAAAAACCCCATCCACATAATTATAATCACTACAAATGTAGCAATATTAATGGGTCGTTTTAGGAAAATATCTTTTCGTGGACATATTGCAAAATAGATGACAAACTCAAGTGTAAATGTTATCATACACAGTGTATCTATGACAAGCAATGATAATATTGGGTCAGTCAGCATCAGTCGAGCCCACTTTTCGGAAGAGTTTTCGAATTGGGTGACAGTGTCCGTTGTAAATGTGTTTAGATAGTGTTCCGTTCGGAACTCCTCCATACTCCAAAGACACAGAATAATACTGCTTACCAACACAGAGGCCATGTAGAACACATACCAAATCTGTAAGGTAGAAAATAAAGTTTGATTAATATAAAACAGGATGTGAGTACAACACTGAGGCCATGTAGAACACGTACCAAATCTGTAAGGTAGAAAATAAAGTTTGATTAATATAAAACAGGATGTGAGTACAACACTGAGGCCATGTAGAACACGTACCAAATCTATAAGGTAGAAAATAAAGGTTGATTAATGTAAAACAGGATGTGAGTACAACACTGAGGCCATGTAGAACACGTACCAAATCTTTAAGGTAGAAAATAAAGTTTGATTAATGTAAAACAGGATGTGAGTACAACACTGAGGCCATGTAGAACACGTACCAAATCTATAAGGTAGAGAATAAAGGTTGATTAATGTAAAACAGGATGTGAGTACAACACTGAGGCCATGTAGAACACGTACCAAATCTATAAGGTAGAAAATAAAGGTTGATTAATGTAAAACAGGATGTGAGTACAACACTGAGGCCATGTAGAACACGTACCAAATCTGTAAGGTAGAAAATAAAGATTGATTAATGTAAAACAGGATGTGAGTACAACACTGAGGCCATGTAGAACACGTACCAAATCTATAAGGTAGAAAATAAAGGTTGATTAATGTAAAACAGGATGTGAGTACAACACTGAGGCCATGTAGAACACGTACCAAATCTATAAGGTTAAAGGTTGATTAATGTAAAACAGGATGTGAGTACAACACTGAGGCCATGTAGAACACGTACCAAATCTATAAGGTAGAAAATAAAGGTTGATTAATGTAAAACAGGATGTGAGTACAACACTGAGGCCATGTAGAACACGTACCAAATCTATAAGGTAGAAAATAAAGGTTGATTAATGTAAAACAGGATGTGAGTACAACACTGAGGCCATGTAGAACACGTACCAAATCTGTAAGGTAGAAAATAAAGATTGATTAATGTAAAACAGGATGTGAGTACAACACTGAGGCCATGTAGAACACGTACCAAATCTATAAGGTAGAAAATAAAGGTTGATTACAGGATGTGAGTACAACACTGAGGCCATGTAGAACACGTACCAAATCTATAAGGTAGAAAATAAAGGTTGATTAATGTAAAACAGGATGTGAGTACAACACTGAGGCCATGTAGAACACGTACCAAATCTATAAGGTAGAAAATAAAGGTTGATTAATGTAAAACAGGATGTGAGTACAACACTGAGGCCATGTAGAACACGTACCATGGTAGAAAATAAAGGTTGATTAATGTAAAACAGGATGTGAGTACAACACTGAGGCCATGTAGCACGGTACCAAATCTATAAGGTAGAAAATAAAGGTTGATTAATGTAAAACAGGATGTGAGTACAACACTGAGGCCATGTAGAACACGTACCAAATCTATAAGGTAGAAAATAAAGGTTTAATGTAAAACAGGATGTGAGTACAACACTGAGGCCATGTAGAACACGTACCAAATCTATAAGGTAGAAAATAAAGGTTGATTAATGTAAAACAGGATGTGAGTAAAGAACACGTACCAAATCTATAAGGTAGAAAATAAAGGTTGATTAATGTACTACAGGATGTGAGTACAATATTAATGGGTCGTTTTACACATGAGTACAAAATAGTGAGAACACGTACCAAATCTATAAGGTAGAAAATAAAGGTTGATTAATGTAAAACAATGTAATATTGGGCCATGTAGCATCACGACCAACTTTATAAGGTAGAAAATAAAGGTTGATTAATGTAAAACAGGTCCGTTGTAAATGTGTTTAGATAGTGTTCCAAAACTCCTAATACTAAAGACACAGAATAATACTGCTACAACACAGAGGCCATGTAGAACACATACCAAATCTATAAGGTAGAAAATAAAGGTTGATTAATGTAAAACAGGATGTGAGTACAACACTGAGGCCATGTAGAACACGTACCAAATCTGTAAGGTAGAAAATAAAGTTTGATTAATATAAAACAGGATGTGAGTACAATTCGCTTCTGTTGTTTTTAACATTTGACCAATGCTGATTTAGCGAAAACCCATGTGTTAGAGAAAAACAAGCAAAAATATCACAGAATTAAAAATATATCCAAAATGTCGACTTCATTTTGTATAGATGCGATTATAGCTTAAGTTTGATATTGCTTAAATATATACTGTCTACAGAATCAATTTCATGTAATATCAAAACCTGTCAAACATGTCCATAGCACACTTGTGTATATTTATGAAGGCTTGATTATCATCCATTTATAGTAAATATCGATACATTTTCAATTTTTATACCCATATAACGTGGTTTAAATGTGAAAGAGACCTGTCAAACGTCGGACGTTCATATGTAATGTTACATAACAAACGTGTTATCAAAAGGTAAATAAAAACTCCAGTATGTTGTTACCGTTGTCAATGGCGTCTAAGTGTTTAACCTATTGTCTCTGGTTGACTTTTGCTGTTTAGTTAGGCTTTGCGCTATTTCAACTATATGTATAAAAGGTTATTTTTCCAAGAAAATCATTGATTGTAAAGTGTAAAAGTTAGAATTGTTATTTATATTTTTATGCATCGAATTTTATTTATTTACCTCGGGACAAGAACGCCATCGTTAAACAACTGAAACTAGGTCGGTCCTAAAGAGTACACATGTATGAAGATATAGTACAAATGTAGGTTTATTCCACGGACCACATTTTACACAATCATAGCTTGTGATTAAGGTCCATTCTATATCATTTCAACCCAGAAAGTCAGTATAATCTCTAAACAGCTATATACAGCCACTGTTTTATTATTTTGTTTGTACATCTATATAAATGTGTGATGAATTAACGGGTGTGGCAAATAATGTGAAGCACTTCCGGTTTTGTTTAAATTCAAAAACCTAGCAAAATATGAAAATAATATAAAGGGAGAGCATCCAAAATGGAATCAAATGCTAATATTTTTTGTATAACGAGTATTCAATTGTATTTGATGTAAGGAACGCCAAGTAAAAAATGTCATACAGTCTCTTAAAAGTGTTTGATTCTTAGAACGCAAATATACGAATACGTTGTACCTGTATAGTGTTTACCGAAAATTATACAAAAATTATGCAATATTATTGGTTAAGTTAACAAGTTGTAAATCAACGTTAGATATTCAACATCTAACTCTTTTGTAATAAGATGCAGTCTAATTCATTATTTTGCTCTACTGTAACTAATTCTAAATTTGTAGTTAAAGGTGATATATTTTGCACAATCACTTAACTGCTCTCTGTAAACATATTTTTTGTGATTTGGCATTAATAGTGACATTGATATGACGTCGTATATCTACCTACCTTTGCTGCTAAGGATGATTCGGGACTTTCTATAGAAATCCAAAGTTTGTAACGTAAGCTGTCCTTGTCTAGAGAAAGCGACATTTCGTTGACCTGACCATCAGTCTTTTGAAGATCGTCAATCACTTTTGCTTCTTCATCCACTTGGAAATACGTTCTCCAGCAACATGTCGATATCATTGTGCTTGGAACACCCCAGAACTCCATCTCAGTGCGGAAAAGACTTGTACAAATGTGTTTAGGAATGTGCAAAAGCCCTGTGTTACACATATTCAATACATAGTTGAAAATTTCTGGATCGCGGTCAAAGTAATATTCCTTCTTCTCATCGTCATAAAATTCACTGTTTTCGTCCAAATTTTTTAGTTTTTTTCCTGGTGCTTTTGATAAAGTTGATTTCAGAGTTTCGAACCTTGAACCTCGAATATTAAATACTACTTTTGAATCAATGTTATCGGTCGTTGAGATTTGCGATGAAAGATGTTTGTCCATTTTCTCTAGAAACACGTCACCTCTGTATAAAAATCTAAGTACATATCTTGAGAGAAAGTGATATGATATCACCTATGACATATTGTGTCCTGCAGTCCTGTGTTAGTAGTATCCTTTTCTCTGTTCACACTAGACACGATACTTCCGATGTATTTCCCGTGTAAAGCTTCGTTTCCTTTTCATAGATAATACCACTGATACACAAACTGTTGATTGGTTCACATATATCACCTTACAAGGATGGATTATACTGTTAAATCGTAAATTGTTGTGGAACTCAATTTTCGTGGATTTTCAAAAAGAGAATACAAAATATGGCGGGCACTTAATTTCGTGGGTAGATATAGCTCAATGAAAACATCTATTCTTATTCTAACAGTACGTGAACATATGGAATAGAAGACTATGAGAATACACGAAATCAATGGAAATGGATCTCTCACAAAAATTAACGTTTTGACAGTACTTCAAATAATCATCAGCTAATAGATATAGATTATTATATAGTTTTCTATTCACTTTTACAATTCCATTGTAAGAAAATGTTGTTTGTAGTGTTCATCGAGTCTACAAATTTGTTTCTTATTTTTCTTTGTAGTTCTTCAATATGAAATACAGAAATACAGAAACCAACTACCACTAATCTCTGTTGAGTTTTTTTATGGAGGGAATTTAAATAAAAAATGTGTCCTCTGTTGAAAACAGAGTCCTGTGTTAAGCAACATGTCTTGGTGGTCCAGATTAAACATCAGATTTTCCACCTGATGCACGTGTTTGCAATGAACATATAACTGGTGACTTCCTGAACCTCTCTTTGACAATCGACCTGCGGACGAGAGAACCATCAAACACAGAGCTAGTCAGGTGATAAATGACCTTGAGCTGAACCGTAAGAAGTTACGACCATTGTTGCGTTGATGTGTACTTACCTAGACAAAAAAACTGCGACAAACATAGTTAAACAATAACATCAACAGATGAAATATTGACATCATCAGGTGTAGAGCGCAGGCAACCACTATAGCAGGTTTTTACGGCTTCGCGAGAATTACAATCTCTCCCGAACACGGAACTTCAGGCGAGGTTATCAACCACAGCTGCATATACAAAAACGACGTAGATTATTTTGGGGTATAAGCTGAATCCATCCCTTGCAAGCAGCGGTCGTTTGTCTGATGTCTTCTGTAAAATCATGTGACTGGAATGACTAAAAAAGGAATTGTTAGGTTCTTGATTTAATTCGAAAGGCCGTTATAATATTTAATTTATATACTAGTTTATTGAGACAGCAATTAACTCAGGATAACAAATAGTACTATGACAGCAGATATGAATGAAATTATCACAATTTCTCTCTTTTTCTACCTGTCAATTTGATTCGATCGCAATAGGTACAGAGCACATGCTACAGACAAGTCTAAACTTAATACACATACAATAACGTAATTCACAATAACATTTATTATTAAAGGGGAGTTAACTCCTTTAAAAGTCATTTTGCTACATTACCTCGGTCGATCCAAAGACTTATACAAAAATACAATAGAGAGTTCATTTAATTACAAAATTTGACTTTACACATAATCACCAAATAACAGATATTCATTCAGAGAAATCTTTACAAAATATCTTTATCTGGACACATACTACACAATATACATAAATATATATCGTACTTGTGTTAGGCACAGCCTTTAATCAGAGATTTTCTATAACGTGAAACAGCAGAAAGTTTGGTATGATAAACAAATATGGCCGCAGCACAAATGGTGAGTACATACACCTAAATAACTTATATTTAGAATGATTCTAATGACTTTCGCGTTTTGGTGATAAACTGTTTGCTGTTTCCATTCGTGTTTTGAAGCATGTTTACTGACATACTTTGATTTAGAAGTTATTGAGCAGGTTACACGATATTCTGTGACAGAAAACATCACACTACATTCGCGTCCATGATGTTTACGACTGGACACGAACTTTAAATTCAGTTTTAACGAAGGATGTGACAAGCATCCACTTATCACCACTTTAGAATCAATATTTATACATGTTTCTATCACAAAATTCCCAATATCTTCAGTATCGTTCACTTTAGTTCGGTGTACGTGCAATAATTTTGAAAATATATTCTGGCATTGGCATTTCGATATAATTAGATGTCCGCCATGATTCGACTTAAATACAAATTCAACATCGGCAATTATTTTCACTGATACATAAAACTCATTGTATGTATTGTGTTGTATTACAACAATTTTTACGTTGGAATTATCATTGAAAATGTCAGTGATTAGTTACCACGCTGACAGCTTTTCCTGTTTCAATTGGTTGGTCATGATTTAGATCACAACGAATGCCCTTGACTTCTCATACCATGACAGACACAAACTTGCGTAGTTATGTACACCACCAGATTTGGTGGAATGAAATCGGGGTATCCCATCACAGGCAGTCCACATAAACAAGACATCAAGGAAGTTAATTCTCCTGTTCGTTTGTCCATTCCCAGTCCTGTTTCCTGACTCAAATTCGCTTTCCTGCTACCACCTCTTCTAGATGTCTTCACAAGTACTGGTATTAACACTGTAAGGGGCTTTGCCGTGCGCCTAAAAATCTCAATAAATCTGTGATATCATCCAATAAATCCAAGGAACGTCTTGACCTTCTCAGGTTTTGTAGGTTGTAGCCAGTTCACAACTTTCACTATCTTCTTGTATTTGACGCATTTCTGAAATTATCCACTTAAAAAAAAGATACTAGATTTTTTTTATAGGGCTTGTGTAGCTCCCCGTCTAGATTTTGATATTTCTTTCGACAACTTTGGATTCAGTCGCCTCCATGGCTTCACAATTCAGGCCCCTAGCATCACTGACGAGTCCTGAAAGAACGAAACAGCTGTATAATGTAGCATCCCTGACGAGTCCTTGAAGGACGAAACAGCTGTATGATGTAGCATCACTGACGAGTCCTTGAAGGACGAAACAGCTGTATGATGTAGCATCACTGACGAGTCCTTGAAGGACAAAACAGCTGTATGATGTAGCATCACTGACGAGTCCTTGAAGGACGAAACTGCTGTATGATGTAGCATCACTGACGGGTCCTAGAAGGACGAAACAGCTGTATGATGTAGCATCACTAACGAGTCCTTGAAGGACGAAACAGCTGTATGATGTAGCATCACTGTCGAGTCCTGGAAGGACGAACCAGCTGTATAATGTAGCATCACTGACGAGTCCTGGTAGGACGAAACAACTGTATGATGTAGCATCACTGTCGAGTCCAAGAAGGACGAAACAACTGTATGATGTAGCATCACTGTCGAGTCCTGGAAGGACGAAACAGCTGCATAATGCAATTTAATTTTTTGTTTGGCTCTACTGTTTCTTATCTAAACTTGTATGAAAGGGTGTTATTCACTTGTTTGTCTTTTGTACAGCCTTCTCGTGACCTGGCTCTTTCCCGTCTTCAAGGACGAGATGGCCTACATATTGTACTTTCCTCTGCCTGCCTGGGTTTGTCTTGAGCCATCTCGACATCTCGGATGTTGCTTATTCTTACACTTCTGATACTGTAGCTGTTTTCTCCCCTACTTGTCTTGCTTCATGGTAGTAACGTCCTCAGCTAGCTGATGTATCATCCCTTTGATTCCATCCAGTTCTGTCTTTGGTACTTAGTCACGCCTCGCGTTTTTTCCCTTTATCTTCTCTCTTGCTTACATAGTCCTGCTCAAGACGACGTCAAAGCCCTAGGGTAATCTATGGATATGTCCTGTTGCGTCCTTCAACTAACATGACAATCCAGAACACAATACTGTCCTCAGCGTAGCGTCTCGTTTCACCGATGGAATTTTATTGGCATATGCATCTTTTGTATAGAGATCATCAACACGACAATTCCAAGTTGACACAGTCTCAGAAGGCTCTTTCTGGCACTGAAAAACTGAACCAGTAGCATCTCTGTCTGCTCCACAACACTGTAAACACTGTTCATTTTAATGAGTATCTCATGATTTCTAGCTTCGGTTGATGTCTTTACCTAACTCTCAATGCTTCACCTTTAAGTCTACTTCTGATGGCGTGAGATATCGTCAGTGTAGGATTACCTTAATTGATAATGCACTCGAGCTGACTATGGCATACGTTATAAATGGTTTCTTTATTCTCATCCCCAAAAATGGTGAAATTTAAGGAAAATGCTTCATGGCCGAAGTCGTATAATTGGGCTGCATGGAATACTTTCTTAGAGTTAGGATTAGCATCAGCCTGTTCAGTTATCCAGCCCTTAAAATCTTCCAATGCATCCAGCTCAGACTTGACCTTCAGATTTTTAAGATGACTTACAGTCTGTCTAACCTCATCTATTGTTTTCTGTGTCAGACATCTCGATAGCGAGCTCAGTACGAGCGGCCCGCTGATAACACGGCCTAAAACATAACACGGGAGGAGGGGAAAAACGCATTTTTTCACACATGCTATCAGTCATGAATTGTGACACGAAAATGAAATTCCCAGTAATTCAGTTATGTTCAGTGCCAATGGTGGATAGCAACACGATATATGTAACCATATACTGGTCGTACAATATACCACTCGGCGTGAGAGAACTTCTCTTTAGCTCGATCGGTTGAGCGTCAGACTACTATGTCAGGCATCCCGGGTTCGAATCCTAGTTTTGAAGTAGAAAAATGACATATGTTACAAATATAGTAACTCATGATAAAAGCACAAAATCTGGGATATGATATTTACTACACAATATCGACCAGTTATTAAATGGAAAGACGATATGGCGAGGAAGAGACTATTATGTATGCCGGACAATGATCCTGTAAATTCGTTTATCTGTCTGTCCAGAGGCCTCAGTGTTATTTAGATATCTTAATCATCTTAGTCAGGTAGCAGTACACAATTTCTCGGTGTGGCCATGGGTGATTTTTTTGCTCATTAGATTACCCCATTATAAAGGTTTTAATTAAAAATGAAAAAAAAAATCCTTGCTAAAATTGGTCCTGTCATGTTAAAGTGGACAATGTGGGGTTTCATTTTTTTTTTCAGGATAATATTTTAGCTTTGTGTTGGAGATTACTATTTGGGCAGTCTCGAATCTGTGTCTACGCACCAAAAACTAGCTTTACAGGAAGTGAAATTTTCATAGTGTTCACATGTGGTCATGTTATGAAGAATTTCCGAGTTGGAATTTGCTGAAATGTATGTACTTTGTTACCATGATAGTGTTGTTGATTGTAAGATAGGTGTTTAGAATTAAATTTCTCCTAGAAAGTTGTAGTGTTGGGTTGGAATTAGCAGTATTTTTTGCATTTTTAGCATTTTTTTTTTTTATATTTATTTTATTTTTGCATTTTTTCATTGTATGTACACAAAGAAGTTCACACACGCCCTTACATACATACATACATATGTCCAACATGTATCATCATACACATTATCATCACACACATCATCATTAAACATGTATCATCATACACATCATCATCATACACATCATAATTAAACATGTACCATCATACACATCATCATTAAACATATATTCTCATACACATCATCATCATACACATCATCATTAACATGTATCGTCATACACATCATCATTAAACATGTATTATCATACACATCATCACCATACACATCACAATTAACGTGTATCATCATACATATCATCATCATACAACACATCACCATTAACATGTATCATCATACACATCATCCTCATACACATCATCATTAAACATGTATTATCATACACATCATCATTACACATGCATGTATTATTATACACATCATCACCGTACACATCATCATTAAACATGCATGTATTATTATACACATCATCACCATACACATCACCATTAACATGTATCATCATACATATCATGTAAGTATTATTATACACATCATCCTCATACACATCATCATTAAACATGTATTATCATACACATCATCATTAAACATGTATTATCATACACATCATCACTTACATGTATTATCATACACATCATCCTAATACACATAATCATTAGCATGCATCATCATACACATCATCACTAACATGCATCATCATCATCATCATCATCTACGGATTTGTCAAATTGTGAGTGTTCATCATATATCTAATGTACAGCATAAATAATCAACTTTTTTTATATTTATTTTATTTTTTGCATTTTTTCATTGTATGTACACAAAGAAGTTCACACACACACGCCCTTACATACCTACATACATACATACATATAAGAAAAAAGGAGAGAAGAGACAGATTATGATAGAAAATGGTTAGATAGAGGAGAGAAAGAAGGCAGATGGCTAGAGAGAGGAAGAGAGAAAGAAAGCAGATAGGGAAGGAAACAGGAAGGAATTCAAGACTTAAATAAAACTATATAAAGCAGATGGTGATTTTAAATAATTTACCAAACTGAAAATTTGTTGGTACAGATGATGGCCATTGTCAGGGACTGGTAACCAATCATCAGGTTTATTGATTCATATTCAAAATTAAGTATTGAGTATCTTAATTATGTTTGAGTAAAAAAATCATATATCGATATAGTACCAGAGTGGTAGTAATATTAGTCGTTCATGATTTTTATAAATTTCTCCCATTTTTTCCACCCTAGTGCAAATTTGTCTTTAACCCTTTCCCCTTTAGTATACGTGATATATTTTTGAACCTTATAATAATCATGGATGGCACAGGTTAGAGCATTAATGCTGAGGGACTTATGTAAACATCTAGTTCTGTAAATATATTGTTTTATGAGTAAAATAATTTGGTTATCAACACTATATATTAGGTTGGTCCCATTATCTATCTTGCCAAAAAGTATTGTTTGTTTGTTAACAGTAAAAGGAATATATAAAGCATCTAGTAATCTATCTAGACTTTGCAAAAGATTCTGGACTTCATCACATTCCCAAAACAGGTGTACAATTGTTTCTGTCTCAGCATTACAGAGAGTACATAAAGGACTATCTAATATCCTTACTTTAAAAAGAAATGAGTTTGTAGTTAAGATGTTGTGGGAAATTCTAAACTGTAGCCATTGAAATTTGGAACTTTTAGTGACTTGAAAAGGTAATGTATATATAGCTAGCCAGTCATCATTTGTGAAATCAAAATGTTCCCCCCACTTTTCCCTTCCCTTGGACACAAGTGATTTAATATTGTTAAGTATTCCATAAAATCTCTTTGAACCTTTATTGATATCTAAAAAAATAGATATGTGGACTGGTAGAGAAGGACGTATAAATTTATACTCAACAATATTATAATTCTGCAAGCTTTTCCTTATTGCTGAAATTATTGCATAATATTTCAAAAAATCAGTGTTTATGTTAAATTTCTGAATAAATTCCTCATATGAAAACAAAGTGTTATTACTAAAATCCTTAACAAAATCACCAATTAGATAAACACCTTTTTCATACCAGTGTGGGTAGAAGATTGTTTTACCTCCAATGGTAATATTACAATTATACCATACAGGTGTTAGCAAGAGTGATTTCCCTTTGATTGTTTTCATATTTTCTGAATTTTCTAATCTCCCCCAAGCTTTTTTAGCATTTTTTCAGTAGGTAACCATGACAATCAAATGTCAGAAATCAGAGGAAAAATTTTTTTTACACAAATTTCATCTCTCTACTGTTCATGTAATTGTTATATAGTTTATAAATATATATACATGTAATGATGTATTTTCCATAACCAATCTGCTATACCTGTATATTTCAAACATGACAAATAATTTCAGGAAAAATGCAAATTAACTGTTTACTGCTACCTCAGTGAAAGCAGATAACTGAAGTATGTCTTTAAGTGTGCAAACATTTGCATGAAATAGTTATAAGAGTTGTTTCCCTTCGTTCGGAATTCAACAAGTTTTGACACCTTAATGCAATCTGCAGATTTTGACAAATTCATCCATTCACTTCTTTTATTTACAAACTCACGCGACCGTATGAACAAGCTTTTTTCTCGATTGTTTCTATGAATATTGGCTAGGCCTAAATTTCGTAAAAAGCACGCTTTCCAAATTTTCTCTAAAACGTCTTTCAGACCTTGACTATCAAACTGAAACTGGTCACGTGCGATCTTTTCCAATATGGCTGCGGCCAGTAAAAGTGTGGTTAGTGATACGAATTCGACTGATACCTGGCCTAAATGGCAGGTAGCTCTCGCTATCGGTGCTCCTTTGGCAGTTGTCATCGGGGGAGTATGGGCATACAGGCGAAGCAAGCGAAAGGACGCCAAATCATCACCAAAGAAACGAGATGACAAAGATAACACAACGTCCCAGTCGAACACCGGCAAAGATAAACACTCGACGCCATCACCAACGAAACCGGCGTCTGGTCAAGAGGAGGTAAATTGGCCCAGATATTGAATCGACGTGTAGATCTTACATTTATTATTAGTAATTATAAACATAAGAAATCAAGTATGAACAATTGTCGGTATTCTGTTTAGCATGATATGTCCTTCAAACCCGAATAACCTCCAGACTGGATATAAAACAATATTCTAGTCACAGAGGGTTTGTCTATGGGCGTTAATCATCTGTTGACTGTGATTTAGTGTTAGAATATGTAGCTCCCAGTCATAATAAAAAGAGGATTTTATCTGGAAGAAACCCTGTGAAAGTCATACTTGTCATCATTTTCTATGTTAGATTGTGAGACCAGTTAAGATATAAGATGTTTTATTTTGTGTCATATGTTAATCAATGGATTTTATTTCATTAATTACAATTGTATTGAACATATAAAAGTTAGCATAAAAATCGCTGTAAATTATTTAACTATGTGAAATATGAGTCCAGACAGTGCCAGAAAAGTGAAAAGTTTACATTCCACAATGACATTCTTAGTTGAAAGTATCAACAAGAAGAAAAAACACCAATAAACTTTGGATAACTGGTTAGTGCTTCAAGAAGTGGAAGAAATTTTGCTTGTTAAAGTGGACTTCGATCAGGCAGTTGTTGTTATGTTGACAGTTTGTTTGCTTGTGTATTATGTTGTGACCTCCTGACAATGGTTGGTGTTATACTCTAAGGAATAAAGGGAATTTAGTTCAAACCAATTCCATTTGTGTAAAATCATCGTTATACTCTGTAATAATCAAAAGTAAATCAAACAAATTCAGAAAAGTGAAAATGCTATCATTATTTTTTATTAAAATTAGCTACAGGTAAAATTAAAAGCACCTGTGCTCCATGCCTTATATTTTTTTAGGAATTTCTCACTGATGGATCAAGTCCTAGATCCTCTTTCCTTTGATGTAAACGAAATGTGGTCTTACATATGTTACTGGTATAGAGCACCGCTCGGGCGTTGATGCCAAAACAGCGACTGCAGAGCTTCAGTCCTATTAAAAGCATATCAATTAAATTACAAGAAGATATCAAAGTATGGTAAAATCATGTTTATAGTACCAAAGAATGGAATACTATAGCTTGTGAAATTAAGTCTTTTGTAAAGAAAATGTATGTACAACTTCAAACTTGTTTAGAAAAAATTGATAATCTTGTAATCCATATGTCACACCTGACTCTTAAACATGTTTTCAGGAAGAGAAATAGACAAAAACAAAAAAGATTGGTATCAAATATGGGGGTAAGCTGTAAAATTGTATAGGACTATTCAGTGTACGCCTCACAGCTACGTCCTAGCCACATGATGTGTATACATATATAGTGTATAGAAAGTGTCCTACCTCCCCAAAATCTTGATGCAATAAACTGAAGCACATCAAAAATATTCAGGTTCCATATAAACATAAAAATGCCTTAGACTTTAACATAATCTCTGTGTACAATTCTGAGGGTAATCTGACATTTATAATTACTACCATTTCTGTGGCCAAATATGAGGCACTTAATACTTAGTTCCATTAAGTATTTACTATAAACAAATTCAATGGAAATTTTAACCTCTCATCTTCACCACATTTTCCAGTGATTTATGTTTTTGATCAAAGGATAAAATAATCCTTGGTGAGTGAGTGTATTAGTCAGCAACAATAAGAACAATTTAGATTTGAATCCTATATATCATCTGTCCTATCCAATGTGGACTTAAAGGTCTAGCTTGGTTTCATGTGAGCATGATGTATATATTATTTATTGAATGTATAGTAATTTTGATATAATTTTTTTGAGGCGAGTCCTGAACATCATTTCAAAAATTTTGATGAGATCCAACTAAGAGATATTGTGGGTCTCAAAATTTGAGCATGTTCCATAGAAAAGCATGACTCAAGGACTCAAAGATTTGAGTCATATTCATTTTTTTAACAAAACTTCGAAGGCATATACTGTAGTTTATAGTTGGTCATGACTTGCACAGTGCTTCTTTGAAAATTCCCCTTTAACTCTTTAGGCTGAAAAATAAGAGTAGTTAGGGATTCAGGACACAATTTTTGTTAATTTTATTGATAAATCCTAATTATAAATTTCATCTTTGGTGTAGACCGGTTTTTCTCAATAGAACTGAATTTGATAAATTTTAATCCCACTTATAATTCCTTTTTTTCCAAGATATTCTACAAGTTTAACCTTGCACAACAAGTGGTAACCTGTAAAAAGCTGAGTACTATTATTGAAATGTTTTTTACCTCTTTTTCTTGATTGTAGGAGCAGACTCCATTGGAAAAAGCACAAGCAGAAAAAAACAAAGGAAATAAGTACTTTAAGGCGACTCGTTATGACCAGGCTATCACATGCTATACACAAGCTATTAGGATGTGTCCTCCTGGGAACAAGGCAGATCTGGCCACATTCTATCACAACAGGGCTGCAGCCTATGAAAAACTGGTACGTACATGGAACAGAATATGAAAATCTGGTACATACATGAGACAGCCTATGAAAGAACTGGTATGAACATATACATAGGGCGACTTACAAATATCTGGTATGTACATACAGGGGAAGGCCTATAAAAACCTGGTACATACATATACTAAGGAGAGTCTATGAAAATATGGTATGTACGTACATGGGGCAATGTACAAAAAACTGTTACATACATATATTTGGGCAGAATATGAAAAATTGGTACATATGCATAGGAATGCCTACAAAAAACTAGTATGTAAATGTGTACATGGGGAAGGATAGGAAAGCTTGGTTATCCACCTGGGGTAGCTATGAAAAATGGTATATACAGATGAACATACATGAGCAGAATATGGAAAAACTTATATGTGCCCGGAACATACATATACCAGTAGAATATAAAAATTGTTAAATGTAAATACATCATATGGGCAACTTACAAAATACTGATGGGTACAGATACGGGGAAGCAAGGAGATTACCGAACATTGGTAAGTTCATACTAAGGACACACAGAAACAGAAACAGGAAATTAAAACTGGCAAAAACTGGTTCTAACATCAATTACTTGATATCCATAACACTAGATACTCATCCATATCAGCTGTAGACATCAATATTTACTTACTTCCAAGATCTGTGGTGTTCAAATGCCACAGATTATTCAGTTTTTTAAGGCTTGTTGTCATGAATTTTCATAATAGATTTTCACTAGAGATAAAAAACAAAATACAAGATGATGACTGTAGCTTAAAGTTTCACTGCTTTTAACAGTTATTGTCACAGCTCTCCTATTGAGAGCTTGACATTTCTTGAATTTATGAATATTACCTGACATGTATCAGCATGGAAACAATGAATAACTTTCTCTCTAGAACACAATTCCAAGACTTATTGTACATATGTTCTATGTGTAGGCCGTCCTTTTTCATATCATCCCATTCTTTTACCATATTTATGCCTATGTTATTTCATTGCTGGGCACATTAAGTTTACCCTTGGCATTCATTCCATTATATTTGTTTTTGTTTCAGTTCATTTACTCTTAAACACAAACAGATATATTTATGTAGTATAATGCAGGTCTACTTTTGATTTGGTTAAAGTCAATTATTTTTCTCTAGAGTTATGGTCTTTTCACTTGAAGAATTTCAACAAATATGTTTGTGGAGATAGTATGACTAGTATTGGAGAGTCTTGTGTAATTCCAAAGGGAATTTAGATTAAAAAATGACAGGCAGGAAGTATATAAATCCGCCTTCAGATTCTTCTCCTTAGATTCTGCTGGCAGAACTTAAAATTAATTTCATGAGAACGCCTCTTAACAAAGTTAACAACACTAGAAAATTTCCAAATTTCTCCTTGGCTGTTGATGAGGGTATTTGCTTCAACATGTCTAGTTAATGGACATTGATGCATACGTTTTTGTTTAATACACAGAGAAACAATAAGATGGTTGTGGAGGATTGTACGATGGCTCTGGAGCTCAACAATCGGTATGTGAAGGCATTGACGCGGCGGGCGGCAGCATGTGAACAACTAGAGGATTTATCACAGGCACTGGAAGGTGATTATGTAATGACACATACTGTAAACGATGTGATTGATGATGGGTTAAGATTTGATTGCACCAAATTATGTACATCTACATTATATTGTATTAGGATAATGTGCTAATCCTCTTCATGTCTTGTATTAAACCATCTACAAATAATACTTCATTATCACATAAAGTAATCAAGGGGGGAGGAGCCAACGTCAGGTGGAGATAAGTGGGTTTTCTTAGTGTGGAACTCCGCGTTGAGTATGGATACCTCAGAGGTATGCAGGCCAGTTATAGACAGATAAACTAATTATAAGAAGGGAATAATAACGGCAACATACTCAAGCGTTACCAATAAGTAGAATTTTACTTGTCGACTAGTTTCGACCCTGGTCAAAACAATCACACAATCACACTGTATCACGTCACATAACGTATATATTATTTCTCTTGTAATTATGACGTAACAATGTAAATTTATCCTCCTGAAGTGTACTTTAGGGGAAAAGTTTTGTATATTTTTGTCCTGATGAAGACCTTGCAACAGGGTCGAAACTAGTCGACAAGTAAAATTCTGCTTATTGGTAACGCTTGAGTATGTTGCGGTTATTATTCCCTTCTTATAATTCATTATCACATGATAAGCCCCTTCCTTCAGTTTCAGTAAGAGGTGATGTGTTAGTTTCCTTGGTTACTGTATACCCAGTGATAGTTTCCCAGAGGTTTTTCTCTTTCACAGAAAACTTTTCATCTTCATCATGCTTCACTAAAAGGCAAATTGTAATTTATACAAATTTATAAATCAGTTTTATTCATGGTTAAATTTCCTGCCCATTACTTCTAAGCAAATTATTAAGCAATTGTTATTTATGTTACTCCAAAACAAAACCTGGAGTCAGGGTCAGATAGATGTTCGACTGGATTAGCCCTAAACAAAACCTGGAGTCCTGGGATGGGATAGATGTTTGACTGGAATAGCCCAAAACAAAATTTGGAGTCCTAGAGTCGAATAAGTGTTTTATTGGAATAATTGTAAACAAAATCTGGAGTCCTGAGGTAGGATAGATATTTGATTAGTTTAGCCCAAAACAAGATCTAGAGTCCTGTGGTGGAATAGATGTTTTACTGGAATAGGTCACTTCAATTTTATCATTATTGTTGAATTTATTTTTTTATTTTTTTTTTTCATTTTCTAACAGATGTTACAGCCCTGTGTATTTTAGAAGGCTTCCAAAACCCAACTTCCCTTCAAACAGCTGATCGTGTTCTAAAGAACCTTGGACAAACCAAGGCAAAAGAAGCATTCCGTGTGAGTTATCTCCCTTAGACCAAGTGTATTGTATGTGACAAAACCGCGTGTGGAGAAAATTCTCATGAATTTCACATAATCATGTTAATAACTTTTTCCTTTTAAAAATGAAATGATTACACTATTTCATCAAAAGCAGAATAAATTAATAGCGATAGGATATATCAGAGATGAAAAATTTCCGTCGATCAGCAGATTTCCACCTTTTTCATTACAAATTTGGTCATATTTGAGATCGATGCAAATCCGGTGAGAAAATTTCAGGGGTGGGGGGGGGTGAAGTATGTCTTAATGATGCATTTTATTTTTAAGCAATCTTCATCAACTCCATTCTTAAATCCTTTGATGAATATGCCCTTGTAAACTGTAAAATTAAACATCAAGCAGTTACGAGCACCGAGTTTCCGGTATTGTCAAATCGATAAGATAACTCTTACATCAATTGAACGTTTGAAAGCTATTGTTGAATTGAGATGAAAAATTTCCACCTTTTCCAATGCCGGCCACTTTCATCTCTGATTTATGTTTTCAGTGAAAATTTTTGTTGTACAGGTAAATTTTTGTTGTGTTTTGAACAGAATCGTAAACCAGCTATGCCCTCCAAACATTTTATCAGAACATACTTTGCTGCATTTGTCAATGACCCAGTTTTAAATGCTGCCAAGAAAAGTGCACCTCCTAAGCCTGCTGACACTGACCAAGTAGCTAATGGAGATCCTGATGCTAGGTAAGAAGGAAGAAGTCTCTCTGGTTTATGACAGATAACTTTAATGAAAAGGAATTTGTCTGGTGTCATGTAAGAAGGAATGTGTCTGATTTTTTGTCTGGTGTTTTAGGTGAGTAGTTTGTTTGATGTCTAAGGTGAGGAGTTTGTCTGGTGTCTTGGGTGAATAGTTTGTTTTGTGTCTTCTGTGAGTAGTTTGTCTTGTGTCTTAGGTGAGTAGTTTGCCTGATGGCGTAGTTTTGTAGTTTGTCTGGTGTCTTAGGTGAATAGTTTGTCTGGTGTCTTAGATGAGTAGTTTGTCTAGTGTCTTAGGTGAGGAGTTTGTCTGGTATCTTAGTTGAGTAGTGTGTCTGGTGGTGTCTTAGGTGAGTTGTTTGTCTGATGTCTTAGGTGAGTAGCTTGTCTGGTGTCTTAGGTGAGTAGTTTGTCTAGTGTCTTAGGTGAGGTGTTTGTCTGGTGTCTTAGTGGAGAAGTGTGTCTGGTGGTGTCTTAGGTGAGTTGTTTGTCTGATGTCTTAGGTGAGTAGTTTGTCTGGCGTCTTAGTTGAGTAGTTTGTCTAGTGTCTTAGATGAGGTGTTTGTCTGGTGTCTTAGGTGAGTAGTTTGTCTGATGTCTTAGGTGAGTGGTTAGTCTGGTGTTTTAGGTGAGGAGTTTGTCTGGTGTCTTAGGTGAGTGGTTAGTCTGGTGTTTTAGGTGAGGAGTTTGTCTGGTGTCTTAGATGAGGTGTTTGTCTGGTGTCTTAGGTGAGTAGTTTGTCCGGTGTCTTTGGTGAATAGTTTTTCTGGTGTCTTAGATGAGGAGTTTGTCTGATGTCTCCTGTGAGATGTTTGTCTGATGTCTTAGGTGAGTGGTTAGTCTGGTGTTTTAGGTGAGGAGTTTGTCTGGTGTCTTAGGTGAGGTGTTTGTCTGGTGTCTTAGGTGAGTAGTTTGTCCGGTGTCTTTGGTGAATAGTTTTTCTGGTGTCTTTGGTTAATAGTTTGTTTAGTGTCTTAGGTGAATAGTTTGTCTGGTGTCTTAGGTGAGTAGTTTGTTTGGTGTCTTAGGTGAGTAGTTTGTCTAGTGTCTTAGGTGAATAGTTTGTCTGGTGTCTTATGTGAGTAGTTTGTCTGGTGTCTTAGGTGAGTAGTTTGTCTAGTGTCTTAGGTGAGTAGTTTGTTTGGTGTCTTAGGTGAGTAGTTTGTCTAGTGTCTTAGGTGAATAGTTTGTCTGGTGTCTTATGTGAGTAGTTTGTCTGGTGTCTTATGTGAGTAGTTTGTCTGGAGTCCTGGGTGAGGTGTTTGTCTTGTGTCTTCTGTGAGTAGTTTGTCTGGTGTCTTAGATGAGGTGTTTGTCTGGTGTCTTAGGTGAGTAGTTTGTCCGGTGTCTTTGGTGAATAGTTTTTCTGGTGTCTTAGGTGAGGAGTTTGTCTGATGTCTCCTGTGAGATGTTTGTCTGATGTCTTAGGTGAGTGGTTAGTCTGGTGTTTTAGGTGAGGAGTTTGTCTGGTGTCTTAGGTGAGGTGTTTGTCTGGTGTCTTAGGTGAGTAGTTTGTACGGTGTCTTTGGTGAATAGTTTTTCTGGTGTCTTTGGTTAATAGTTTGTTTAGTGTCTTAGGTGAATAGTTTGTCTGGTGTCTTAGGTGAGTAGTTTGTTTGGTGTCTTAGGTGAGTAGTTTGTCTAGTGTCTTAGGTGAGTAGTTTGTTTGGTGTCTTAGGTGAGGAGTTTGTCCGGTGTCTTTGGTGAATAGTTTTTCTGGTGTCTTTGGTTAATAGTTTGTTTAGTGTCTTAGGTGAATAGTTTGTCTGGTGTCTTAGGTGAGTAGTTTGTTTGGTGTCTTAGGTGAGTAGTTTGTCTAGTGTCTTAGGTGAATAGTTTGTCTGGTGTCTTATGTGAGTAGTTTGTCTGGTGTCTTAGGTGAGTAGTTTGTCTAGTGTCTTAGGTGAGTAGTTTGTTTGGTGTCTTAGGTGAGTAGTTTGTCTAGTGTCTTAGGTGAATAGTTTGTCTTGTGTCTTCTGTGAGTAGTTTGTCTGGTGTCTTAGATGAGGTGTTTGTCTGGTGTCTTAGGTGAGTAGTTTGTCCGGTGTCTTTGGTGAATAGTTTTTCTGGTGTCTTAGGTGAGGAGTTTGTCTGATGTCTCCTGTGAGATGTTTGTCTGATGTCTTAGGTGAGTGGTTAGTCTGGTGTTTTAGGTGAGGAGTTTGTCTGGTGTCTTAGGTGAGGTGTTTGTCTGGTGTCTTAGGTGAGTAGTTTGTACGGTGTCTTTGGTGAATAGTTTTTCTGGTGTCTTTGGTTAATAGTTTGTTTAGTGTCTTAGGTGAATAGTTTGTCTGGTGTCTTAGGTGAGTAGTTTGTTTGGTGTCTTAGGTGAATAGTTTGTCTAGTGTCTTAGGTGAATAGTTTGTCTGGTGTCTTATGTGAGTAGTTTGTCTGGTGTCTTAGGTGAGTAGTTTGTCTAGTGTCTTAGGTGAGTAGTTTGTTTGGTGTCTTAGGTGAGTAGTTTGTCTAGTGTCTTAGGTGAATAGTTTGTCTGGTGTCTTAGGTGAGTAGTTTGTTTGGTGTCTTAGGTGAGTAGTTTGTCTAGTGTCTTAGGTGAGTAGTTTGTTTGGTGTCTTAGGTGAGTAGTTTGTCTAGTGTCTTAGGTGAATAGTTTGTCTGGTGTCTTATGTGAGTAGTTTGTCTGGTGTCTTAGGTGAGTAGTTTGTCTAGTGTCTTAGGTGAGTAGTTTGTTTGGTGTCTTAGGTGAGTAGTTTGTCTAGTGTCTTAGGTGAATAGTTTGTCTGGTGTCTTATGTGAGTAGTTTGTCTGGTGTCTTATGTGAGTAGTTTGTCTGGAGTCCTGGGTGAGGTGTTTGTCTTGTGTCTTCTGTGAGTAGTTTGTCTGGTGTCTTAGATGAGGTGTTTGTCTGGTGTCTTAGGTGAGTAGTTTGTCCGGTGTCTTTGGTGAATAGTTTTTCTGGTGTCTTAGGTGAGGAGTTTGTCTGATGTCTCCTGTGAGATGTTTGTCTGATGTCTTAGGTGAGGTGTTTGTCTGGTGTCTTAGGTGAGTAGTTTGTCCGGTGTCTTTGGTGAATAGTTTTTCTGGTGTCTTTGGTTAATAGTTTGTTTAGTGTCTTAGGTGAATAGTTTGTCTGGTGTCTTAGGTGAGTAGTTTGTCTAGTGTCTTAGGTGAATAGTTTGTCTGGTGTCTTATGTGAGTAGTTTGTCTGGTGTCTTAGGTGAGTAGTTTGTCTGGTGTCTTAGTGGAGAAGTGTGTCTGGTGGTGTCTTAGGTGAGTTGTTTGTCTGATGTCTTAGAGGAGTAGTTTGTCTGGTGTCTTAGGTGAGTAGTTTGTTTGGTGTCTTAGGTGAGTAGTTTGTCTAGTGTCTTAGGTGAGTGGTTTGTCTGGTGTCTTAGGTGAGTAGTTTGTCTATTGTCTTAGGTGAGGTGTTTGTCTGGTGTCTTAGTGGAGAAGTGTGTCTGGTGGTGTCTTAGGTGAGTTGTTTGTCTGATGTCTTAGAGGAGTAGTTTGTCTGGCGTCTTAGTTGAGTAGTTTGTCTAGTGTCTTAGGTGAGGAGTTTGTCTGGTGTCTCCTGTGAGATGTTTGTCTGATGTCTTAGGTGAGTGTTTTGTCTGGTGTCTTCTGTGAGTAGTTTGTCTAGTGTCTTAGATGAGTACTTTGTTTGGTGTCTTAGGTGAGTAGTTTGTCTGGTGTCTTCTGTGAGTAGTTTGTCTAGTTTCTTGTGTGAGGAATATGTCTGAAATTATTAGTGTATGAATCCAGTTTGTAAACCTATCTGGATAAGGACAATGGGAAATAGTTCCTCCTACCATACCTGAAAATATAAGTAGTGCTTAAATAGAATGAATCACTATTACAAGTAGTTTTGTTAACTGTTAAATAAACTTTGTGATGCTCACACTTATTGTGATAATATTTGTTTTTTGCAGTCCCTATCAGCAAGCTCTGTGGAAGATCATAGATGAGGACTATGATGATATAGTTTCATTGTGCACACAGGAGCTTGACTTTCCAGACAGCCAATCAAAAACTGAGGCTAAGTTACTACGGGCAACACTCTACTTACTATGTAACCAATATGACCTTGCACTGGCTGACCTCAAGGTCGTTTTATCAGAGGAGGATATACCCAAAAGAGTAAGAACTTTAATGTAAAGAATGGTACAGTCAAACTTCTTTGAATCGAAATGCGATGATTCCATTTTCTCAATGTATGGAATTTTTTGTCTCGTCCCAAATCTCATTTCTATATATTACTACTAACTAACCCCCAAACTTTCCGATGTATCAAAGTTTTTTCATGGGCCGTAAGCTATGATAACACAGTCATTGACACCTCATGATTTGAACAAAACTTTTACTTGCACTGTACAGGTATTTTCGTCCTGTAGCAAAATTTCACACATTTCATCGAAGAGTGCTACCCCATAGGGATTATGATAGCCTTCTTCCTTAGCCCTGTGTTACAAGGTCAATTAATGACTGGACACAAATTAAAATGTAACTGTTTACTTACATGCCATGATGTTTAATCAAAGATAATGGGACGTTGTGTAATGTTCACTGCTGCCATTGTGGTAATGACACTAATTAGGTCTAATTTACAGAATTTTGAAAACAACAGGAGGAAATCCTATCACTTGTATGATTTTTCAACTCATTTCCAAACCATCACTTTTTAGTTTGAAGCATATAAGCATGAGAAATTCAGTGATTTATCTGTCAATCATGCGTTCTGCGATTGATTCAGACTAGCCATCATCAGAGCATTGGCAAACACTCTTGTAATTTCTACAACCGAGGATGGGTGATGTTAGTGCTGTCATTTCTGGACAGAATTCATTTAGATATGAATTTGCTTTCTTAAAAATCAATAATATAATGTTGATGTATCAGTCTTAAAATAATTACTGTAACAAGTGAATACTGTTTTAATGCTGTGAGTTGTTTCATTTAAAATTGACTCGTAAAATGCTTATACTGTGTGACAGGAAGGATCAATTTCTTGTTGATTTCAAGTCTTTTTTTTTTCATGAATGAAAAAGTTTTGTTTAAAGTTAAAAATGCATCTTTTCATTTAAACTGATGTTTTGATATTTGTTGTGTTTGTTCAGGTAGAACTCTATATATTGCCATTAACATGAAAACATCAATATAACCCACCACGAATGATTCAAAGTCTCGATGTATCAAAGCTTTTTGGTAGTCCCTTGAACTTTGATACATCGAAGTCAGTTCACTAGTAAACATGTAGTTTGTATATTTATGTATAATTTTTAATTGACTTCACAACTTTTGTAATATTCATTATCGTTATACATTTTGGAACACATCCCTTATGTTTCTAATTTATTGACAGAAAATATTGATTGCATTTTTGTTTCTAATACATTTACATAATATCAGCTCTTTTATCAACAGGTTATCAATAGTTCATGTACTGAAAAAAATCAATTACATTTCACAGAAGCAAACAGATATGATACTGTTAGTGTGATGAGATCATATTTCAGAGGTAGGCATGTCAAGATGTACATCTTTTTGTTTTTCATTTCAGTTAAGAATAAATGCTATGATAAAACGGGGAAGTATATACATACAAATGGAAAAACAGACGGAAGGCTTGGACGATTTCGCGTCTGCAGTTAGGATTGATCCAGAAAATGCAGACATTTACCATCATCGAGGACATGTAAGTTGTCCTGAAGGTTTGTCCTAATCTGAACCGTGTATGATAGGTGGAGTTCTACAGGGAACATTTATAAATATCAGTTAATAATTCATAAAAATATCTTCACATTTGATATATCTCGGTGTATGGTCCTATCTTTCAAAGTTTGGTTTAGAAAAAAAATTCCTTGATTAAAACTTGAGAAGAAATATGAATCCTGTCAAAAATGCTGGAGTGTTATTAAAAGAAATAATAAAAAAACATGTTTAAGCTCCCACTGGGGCTCAAAGTGATGACATTTCGGTCTCTGACAAGACACTCTGCTGCTTGACTAAAGGGAAATTTCTTGCTACCCAACTCTAGTAAGATGACTTGTACTTTCATCTTCCTCATTATCCCTCCTTCACCCATCTTTGTTCCCATAGGCAACAACAGCCAAGGTTTGATATCTCTAAGGAAACATCTCTGTCTCCATTAGCTTCTACCCTTTGTGTGATCAACAGCACCAAATTCGTAACAGGAAGTAGTAATGAACAAATATGTTCTGTCCCCATCTGAACGAGAAACTCACTACCATTCACTCTTGGGGAAACCACTCTACAGCTTGACAATAGAGAATTATTTATAATATAAACTTTATTTGTTTTACAACAATTGCGAAACAAGTTATTTAAACTTATACTAATCACTCTTGTTGGCCCGGATGTATTATTTAATGGGCCGTTCCCTTCCCTTGAATAGCCAGGGTCTTTTTGAGGCAGGTTCTCCTGGTAATAAATGTTGGTTACCTCACTTCTTAACATGCTAGAAGTCTATTACATTCCTTTCTGCGGAAAATGTGCCTTGCTCAGAGATAGGACCACGTCAGCACAGACTGGTAGAGGTCTATCACATTCCTTTCTGCGGAAAATGTGCCTTGCTCAGAGATAGGACCACGTCAGCGCAGACTGGTAGAGGTCTATCACATTCATTTCTTCGGAAAATGTGCCTTGCTCAGAGATAGGACCACGTCAGCGCAGACTGGTAGAGGTCTATCACATTCATTTTTGCGGAAAATGTGCCTTGCTCAGAGATAGGACCACGTCAGCGCAGACTGGTAGAGGTCTATCACATTCCTTTCTGCGGAAAATGTGCCTTGCTCAGAGATAGGACCACGTCAGCGCAGACTGGTAGAGGTCTATCACATTCCTTTCTGCGGAAAATGTGCCTTGCTCAGAGATAGGACCACGTCAGCTCAGACTGGTCTGATTCTCAACTTTATGAGCAACACAAAACAACATACGTAGGAAACGTTAAACTGCACATCATATCCTAGGGTTAGGTAGGCCAGTGCTTCAACTACCGCGACCCTGATTAAAAGTCCTGATAATACAGCCTAGTAAGATGGCTTTTAGTTCTACAAGAAAATTCAAGTTAACTTATCAGGATAATATGATCAGAATTTTGTTTTCAAAATCAGTGGTTTGTTTTTTTTAATCCTAGCCTGATACAAATTTGGCAGAACTGTATCATGTTTTTACTTCAGCATAACATACAGTTAGAAAGGATAGATGATGCCTTACGAGATTTGGAGAACGCCATTTCAAAGGATCCAACATTTGCGGCTTCTCATGTACAGAAATCCTTTGCAGGTATGTTGTTTAATTTCTGTACTGGAATGTTTTTGACATGTAAGCTTGCTTTATTGGATTTAGTCACTCAAAGCTAAGACAGTAGGCTGTACTGAAATGAAGATCTCTCACCACCCATTTTGAATTTTAAAGATTTTCTTTAGAGTTTTTTCCACTTTCTGTGATGCTTTGCAATAAAAGTTTGTCAAGACAAATTCATCATTTAAGTTGCTCTAAGATGGTTCTCATTATATTAATCGATGCACATATTGGACCAAAGATTTTCCAGGGAGTTACTTCCCCTTTTTAGACAATCCTTTAATATATTACTAAGCCTTGATCATAATACAGAACGATAGCTTTCGCAATACTAGTTCTTTCATAAGGTTGTTGTCCTAATACTATAAGGCTTGCTTAAATGTTTACAGACAAATACTACTTATTATTATTGCCATGGAACTTATATATGTTGTAAAAATTTTGGGAAAAGATTAGGCTTGCATGCATTACACATGCATTGCACATGCAGTAAACAAATACAACCCATTTGTAAACAATCATTAGAGAGCCCAAAAGAAAAAAGCAACATTTCTAATATTTAATCAATAAATTTTTTATCATGGATTTTTTCATTATATGATAACACATAGAGATGTTTTGTATTTACCAGTAGAAACTTATTCAGAAAAAGTTTTGCATGGTCGATGCATTGATTAAATCAGATTTATCAAAAGAAATAGAAAAGTGTAGCGAAATTTGATTTTAAAAATTTCACAAAAATAAGAGAGAAGATGTGTGATAAGGTGGTTGAGTTTGGTGGATAAGATAAAATAAAAACTATACATACACTGAAATAGAATGAGAGAACAGTTCAGTGTGTAATGTGTCAGATGAAAACTATACGTCCCTGTGAACCACAACAGTTGTAGTGGGAGACACCTGTACAGAAGTAAGGATCTTTAGACTGTGTTTCTACAGGTCCCTGTGAACTACAACATTCTACAGGTCCCTATGAACTACAACAGTTGTAGTGGGAGACACCTGTATAGAAGTAAGGATTTTTAGACTGTGTTTCTACAGGTCCCTGTGAACTACAACAGTTGTAGTGCGAGACACCTGTATAGAAGTAAGGATCTTTAGACTGTGTTTCTACAGGTCCCTGTGAACTACAACATTCTACAGGTCCCTGTGAACTACAACAGTTGTAGTGCGAGACACCTGTACAGAAGTAAGGATTTTTAGACTGTGTTTCTACAGGTCCCTGTGAACTACAACAGTTGTAGTGCGAGACACCTGTATAGAAGTAAGGATCTTTAGACTGTGTTTCTACAGGTCCTTGTGAACTACAACAGTTGTAGTGGGAAACACCTGTACAGAAGTAAGGATCTTTAGACTGTGTTTCTACAGGTCCCTGTGAACTACAACATTCTACAGGTCCCTGTGAACTACAAATTCTACAGGTCCCTGTGAAGTAAAACAGTTGTGGGAGACACCTGTATATAAGTAAGGTTCTTTAGACTGTGTTTCTACAGGTCCCTGTGAACTAAAACATTCTACAGGTCCCTGTGAACAACAGCAGTTGTAGTGGGAAACACTTGTATTATAAGTAAGGTTCTTTAGACTGTGTTTCTACAGGTCCCTGTGAACTAAAACATTCTACAGGTCCCTGTGAACAACAACAGTTGTAGTGGGAGACACCTGTATATAAGTAAGGATCTTTAGACTGTGTTTCTACAGGTCCCTGTGAACTAAAACATTCTACAGGTCCCTGTGAACTACAACAGTTGTAGTGGGAGACACCTGTATATAAGTAAGGATCTTTAGACTGTGTTTCTACAGGTTCCTGTGAACTACAACAGTTGTAGTGGGAGACACCTGTACAGAAGTAAAGATCTTTAGACTGTGTTTCTACAGGTCCCTGTGAACTACAACAGTTGTAGTGGGAAACAACTGTATAGAAGTAAGGATCTTTAGACTGTGTTTCTACATGTCCCTCACTGTTCTGTCTCTGAAATCCTTCCTTATTTGGTTTCCAGAACACAAGAGAACAGCTATGCAGATGATGGGCTCTAATTTGCCCCTCCCACAGACAGTGTTGCAGTCCTATAAGGCAAATGTCGACATGTTCCCCAAGAACGGTGATGCACGTGCACTCTATGCTCAGGCCCTGGGGGATGCTGGCAAGTTTGAGGAAGCTGAGGTGCAGTTTGCAGAAGCTGTGAAACTTGATCCAGATAATGCGACAGCACTTGTACATAGAGGGTAGGTGAAAAACAAGTCACATACATGTGCTGTAAATATACTTCATTTGATGCACTGAAATTTCAGTACTTATATCAATTTTTGGCAAACTAGCAAAATAATGAATTTTGGTGTCCACAATAATTGTTAATTAAAAAACATACAGACACTGTAAATTTCTGTTAGTGAAACTCTTAACTCTGATTACCACTTTAATGTATTTATTAACAGAAACTTGTGTTGTTTTTAATTAATTTATTAATTAATTAAAAACAAAACAGAAATTATCATAATGTCAACAGAATCTTAATTCAGTTTGGTAAAACTATGGAAAAATACAAACAAACAAAGATTTACATAGAAACTCCTAAAAACAAAAAGAAGGAGAATAAGACCAGGTGTTCCTGAAGGTTCATGGTCTTCTACTTCCAGAACAATATTCATCGCCAGTCAATGATTAGTTATTTTATTATATATATATATATATATATACTATAATTAATCCAACTTGATTTTTTTAAATTTTAAATTGTTTGATGGTCTGTACCAGGTTGCTGAAGCTTCAGGCAGACAAGGATATAAAAGAGGCCACGCGCACCATCAACACTGCCCTGGAACTGGACAACCGTTGTGAATATGCGTATGAAGTCCTTGGAACCCTGGAGGTCCAGCAGTGAGTGTTATTTAAACTGGACATTACACCCTGGATCAATGTGATGCTGATGCTGACCACAACTAACACTAAGTGACCATTGAATAGATATTATTCCCAAATCAGATACACTTTTACTTTCTCTGAGGAAAACCTTTGACCCAATAAGACAGAAATCTATGGTTTGATATCAAACCTAAAAGATATTGTTCTACCAGGTATTGATGAGAGAATTAAAACATCAACTATACATGAATTCTATATACACAGTTGTTAAAGAAATTACAACACTGGTATAGCAGGGATTAATCTAGACATATTTCACTACTGGAAATGGGTAATATTCCCTAAGAGATACGCATTCCCCTCTGAACATAAACAAATTCCCATCAAGAAAATATGCTAAAAACATGGGGAAAATTTCCCCAAAAGATATAAAAAATTTTCCCGAAAACTGAACTAACTAGTATATTTTACTTAACATATTTACAAATGCCATCATGAAAAAGATTTATTATTCTAACCTGAACATTGTCCTTTTTCATTCATGTAATTTCATGTAACCGTGTATGTTATATATTTTGATCTTAAGTGCTAGATTAAGCCATGTGTAATATAGCTAGTGGGTAAATATTTGTTTAGCGAACTCTGTTCAAAAGTGTTCCCATGTACATATATGTAATTGTTACTGTATGTTTGGTTATACACTACAACTGTATCTGTTTGTTTTTTCAGAGGACATATGGATAAAGCCATGGGTCACTTTGAGAAGGCTATTGAGTATTCTCGAACAGAGTCAGAAATGGCACATCTATTTTCGCTCTTAGAAGCCGCCAAAGCTCAGCTTAACGTGGCAAAAAATTTTGGAATTCAGCTTCCAAGTTTTGGTGGAGGACCTCCAATGGTGTGAAAGACTTCAAAGAACAAGGAATGCTTTCATCGTCATCCTTTTTGAATTAATGAAGGGTCCACAATTTTTGAAGATGATAGAAAGTTGTGTGTATTTTTGTCTTCTTATCATGTAATCTGTTATAATTAAATTAATTAATACCTTCTTCGATCATTTTGTAAGGTGATTTCCCAGACATCCTCTTTCGGTGTCTACTTTTCAATCTTTGACTAACTATTTGGGTTGCTGAGCAGCCGCAGTAATCAGCTGTGTCAGAGTTGAAAGCTGAATGAATTCTCAAGAGTGTGAAATTTTTTGTGGTGATATGATGCTACTTCATACATACAGAAAAAAATGAGAAATCTAAAAAGACAATTGCTGCTTTTGAAATCCAGTTTTCTGGTAGATAATTGTTTTTCCTAATAGATTATCTTCTATGTGCTATATAAAATGCTTGATATTACTAATTCTCTTGGATTTTAATTATTAAAACACAGGTGTATAATCATGAACTTCACTGTCAAATCTCCAAGGACTGGAGTCTTTAGTTTGTTTTGTTAAATTTGGCAGTCACAAATGTAAAATTTTGGTTGCAAGCTGGAAGAATTTTTAAAGTAAATTCTATTAAATTTTCTCTATTTCTCTTTTTTAAGCTGAGTTGATCATATTACATAACTAAAGATTATGAATTCCATTCATCAACAATTGTGAAATAAGCTGTTATATTTAAATGAAACTGACCACTTCTGGTTTACCTGGACGAATGTCCATGAGAGTTCTTAATGTGGGAGTAAGTGGTGGAAACCTATGTGGTTCAGCAGGTGATGTTTCCCACACATTTTTTCTATTCAATCAACAGCTGGAACCTTAGTCGATAAGACGAAAGGTGAGTGGGTTACAACATTGGCATCCAACTATTGTACTAGGTAATCACAAACAGGACTGAATTAGATAAGATTACAGACTACAGATTATAGAAGGCTTTCAAACATCTCCAGTTTTGAAATCTTGATGGATATATTTTTGGTGATACATGGTATGATGTATTGTTCACCATGAGGCCAAGTAATGCCAGTCTGTAGATGTGGACATACAGAATCTTGGCTTGTTATAGGATAATAACATATTAATGAGGCCAAGTAATGCCAGTCTATAGCTGTGGACATACAGAGTCCTGGCTTGTTATAGGATAATAACATATTAATGAGGCCAAGTAATGCCAGTCTATAGCTGTGGACATACAGAGTCCTGGCTTGTTATAGGATAATAACATATTAATGAGGCCAAGTAATGCCAGTCTATAGCTGTGGACATACAGAGTCCTGGCTTGTTATAGGATAATAACATATTAATGAGGCCAAGTAATGCCAGTCTATAGCTGTGGACATACAGAGTCCTGGCTTGTTATAGGATAATAACATATTAATGAGGCCAAGTAATGCCAGTCTATAGCTGTGGACATACAGAGTCCTGGCTTGTTATAGGATAATAACATATTAATGAGGCCAAGTAATGCCAGTCTATAGCTGTGGACATACAGAGTCCTGGCTTGTTATAGGATAATAACATATTAATGAGGCCAAGTAATGCCAGTCTATAGCTGTGGACATACAGAGTCCTGGCTTGTTATAGGATAATAACATATTAATGAGGCCAAGTAATGCCAGTCTATAGCTGTGGACATACAGAGTCCTGGCTTGTTATAGGATAATAACATATTAATGAGGCCAAGTAATGCCAGTCTATAGCTGTGGACATACAGAGTCCTGGCTTGTTATAGGATAATGACTTATCACTTGGCAACTCTGATACTGCAATATATGGGGGGCTTATAAGCAGACATGGGCTTATTGTGGCACACATACAAATAATTAAAGGATTTTGTAAACAGATATCTGTCTTATGGAATGGGTGAAAAGTCGAGTTTGTTCTATTTTAAAGTATGTTTGTCTCAGTGTTTGGTTTTGTTTTCATTACAGAGTCCAGTATTGAAATATTGGACAGATTTTTATCATATTGTTCAGTTATCAGGACAACAGCACTTGTATGTAAAAGACATCTCAATTTTTAAATTGAAGTAAATGAAATTATTAAAGAATTTAAATTGTAAATTCCATGGAAAAGCATGAATATTTGAATTTTCTGGTGAGAGACACAGAAGATATGTACATGGTGTAGATATAATTTGTTGTTTTGATAAGAAATTTGTGTAATTGATAGTACCCAGTTTTGATTTTACTTATAGTATCAGCACCATAAGGGAGGTAAGTTAGTTACCATTCACAATATTTTGTTTTGTTAGTGTTAAAATAGTTCGCAAACTGGTACTTAATGTCACACAATAACAAAGGATACATCTTTAATTTGAACATTTAAGTTGTATTAAAACTAAAACCATTTTGTTACTGACTTACATGAAAACATTTTTTAATGATCAGATTTCCATGGAGATGCATTCCACAACATTCAGGGTCATAATAATTCAAATTGTTAGCTTTCCACAATTTATAAACTCACAACCATACTTCACTTTTTTCAGATAGCATAATCAGCAGTAATAGAAATTGATATCTCTATAGGCAATAGAATGTATATGTTTTGTGGTCTGCTGACCTAATTTTCAGCCCAAAAACATCATGATTTTAGGGTTGACCTGTGTGAATTTTTTTAAAGTGGTGTGTTGTTTTTCATTTGAAAGATTTTTTTTCAATACTGAAAAAGATAAATCTTCGTACTTTTTGTCATATGAATGGTGAAATATTACATTTAGGAACCAATCTTTAAATTTAAGCTTGTACATAAGCATCCAGTATCAATAGTACACAGTTGTCTTTTGTTGATTTTGAATTGTTTTTGCTTTTGATCTTTGTTCTGAATGTCTCGGAAATTTACAAATTTTAAATTTTAACTTAATTTCATATCTGATTTATAGTAAATGGATAATCATGATTTTGAATTTGCAGCGATAAACTGAAAGTGTACTTAATCTAGTGCAATCAAAAGGTCGTGTAAAAGTTTTCTCATTTTGACAAATTAGCACATTGATGAGTTAGCACATTGATGAGTCAGCACATTGATGAGTCAGCACATTAATGAGTAAGCACATTAATGAGTAAGCACATTGATGAGTAAGCACATTGATGAGTTAGCACATTGATGAGTCAGCACATTAATGAGCAAGCACATTGATGAGTGAGCACATTGATGAGTTAGCACATTGATGAGTCAGCACATTGATGAGTCAGCACATTAATGAGTAAGCACATTGATGAGTAAGCACATTGATGAGTTAGCACATTGATGAGTGAGCACATTGATGAGTCAGCACATTGATGAGTAAGCACATTGATGAGTCAGCACATTGATGAGTTAGCACATTGATGAGTAAGCACATTGATGAGTGAGCACATTGATGAGTTAGCTTATTGATGAGTTAGCACATTGATGAGTTAGCACATTGATGAGTAAGCACATTGATGAATTAGCACATTGATGAATTAGCACATCTACAATGATAGCCATAAATGTTATACCTGCTATTGACCCAATCACATTTTAACCAATACTTCCAGAGTCAATAGCAATAGAAAAATTATCTTTGTGGGAGGGATGAGAAGCATTTTTCCAAAGACCTCACCACCCATCAAATATTAAAATATTTATCAGTATGAGAGAAACACTAGCAAAATGGTGATGAACCCCCCTCCTCTATCAGATTTTAATACAAGTGCTTCCCACCCCCACCCACCCAGATAATATTGGAATAACCCATATTAGGAAAATATGTACCTTGGCTGCATTATTCCATTGACCAATCAAATGTCATATTACATCTTTCATATAACAGAATTCTTCATTCCTCTAGTGTATCAAGGTTTTTAACAGTATACACTTTGTGATGATGCTAGGAGTTAGCTGCTGAATCTGTGGTTGAGGGGAGTATTTGTGTGTGATCCAGAAAATCTGTTTAATTTCTTATGTAATTAGAAGTACACTGTAATAGAAAAATAAAAAATATTTGAAATCTGGTATCAGAATCTGTAGAATAAAATGGTTTGTATTTTGTATATTTTAGGATAAACCAGCAGTAAAAAGATATAGATATCCATGTTAATATAATTAAGACAGTTGTACTTTGGATTTCCTGTAGTTCATGCAGGTTTGACAATTTTACACGGTAGCAATTAGATGTCAAGACATGAAAGAATTATTACAGAGTTTCTGAAATATCAGAATTATACAGTTGTCATATTATCTGTTTTTTGTAATGACTTAAAAAAAGGGAGGAAAAAGAAGAGAGTCAGGCCGAATCACTTCAGACCTTTCTTTACATTTGTTATAAATTGGATTTCTGATCTGGGTAAATTTATTTAAGAGGAAAATCTAAACAAAACAGTTACTGACCACCTTTATCAGGAATGTGCAGTGAATGACTTTATTCAGAAGGATTTCACTAAAAATACGTTTAACCTAATTAATGCGGTCTCCACTGTTTTCTATGGAGGCTTAACTGACTTGACAAAACCTGTGTGTATGTCATTCATTTTTACTCGGATACTTCTTTTGTTGAATACCATACATTTTGACACCAACCTTATTGAATAAGATATTTGTCAGTATAAACAATCAACTCGTCTTGCTGTTTAAAAAAATCACATCAATGTTGTAGACTTGTTACAGAGACTTCAGCTCTGTCAAAGACATTATTTTGTAGGTAATGACAAACTATTGTGACATGTGATACAGATTGTTAGGTTTCATATCATTAAAATAACTTTCTTTGAATAAAGTATGTCTTTACCATTGAACATAACTGTTTAATTTGTATTTGCTCTTCCGGAACACCTGGTCTTTATTTTGTATTTGCTCTTCCGGAACACCTGGTCTTTATCTTGTATTTGCTCTTCCGGAACACCTGGTCTTTAGTTTGTATTTGCTTTTCCGGAACACCTGGTCTTGATGTTTTTATTTGCTCTTCCGGAACACCTGGTCTTCAGTTATTATATGCTCTTCCAGAACACCCAGTCTTTAGTTTGTATTTACTCTTCCGGAACACCTGGTCTTTATTTTGTATTTGCTCTTCGGAAACACCTGGTCTTTAATTTGTATTTGCTCTTCCGGGACACCTTGTCTTATTCTCTAACTATTCTGTGTAGATGTTTTTCCTTTTATTTCATTTATTTTTTTTTAATTTAAGGGCAACGTGGCCTGCTTTAACAGACTGCATACTAATGAAAACATCATTTAGATTCTATTGTAAAATTAGATCAGATTTGATCAGACACAATATAGTTAAGGACTTTGGAATAATTTTTTAAAAAAGAGAAAAAACAACAGCATTATATGAATTTTGTTTTTGTTTTTTGTTTGTTAGCACAAACTATTTAATATAGCATCAAACACAAATGAATGCTAGCTGGAGACCCGAACCTACGCGATTAATTATTCTTCCTATAAAATTCCAATGTGAACAATAGTGTAGGTACATCTCTTTTGCTATTTGCCTCAAATTTTACTACAGTAGGGAAACAGGCAGGGCAAATGTTCATGATTTTGTCCTTCCGGATACGGTAGCGATTTAGTAATGGACGAAATTATCAGATGTTGCAGTGAATTGGCAACTTTTTGACTGAATTCCTGAAATTTTAGATATGTGCTGCATAGTCAATTCAGCTTGTCAATCAAATGTTTCATCCTTCTAGGACTCGTCTGTGATCTTATATCATACAGCTGTTTCGTCCTTCTAAGACTCGTCAGTGTTGTTACATCATGCAGTTGTTTCGTCCTTCTAGGTCTCGTCAGTGATGTAACATCATGCAGCTGTTTCGTCCTTCTAGGGCTCGTCATGATGCTACATCATACAGCTGTTTCGTCCTTCTAGGACTCGTCAGTGATGCTACATCATACAGCTGTTTCGTCCTTCTAGGACTCGTCAGTGACGCTACATCATACAGCTGTTTCGTCCTTCTAGGACTCGTCAGTGATGCTAAGGGCCTAGATATTACTCCAGAGAAATCACAAGAAAAAAATATAGAGATGGAGGTGCAACAGGCCTATTAAATAAATTTCGTAATTTTTATATTTCTGATAATTTAAGAACAGTGTCAAGTACATGTTTATATGCTGAACCGGGCCACTTCGAATGAATTGAAATGAGTATGTTAATTGATACATATGGACAGAGTTCCTTAATCTGCGATATGCCGTATAAATAAGAGAGGTGATAAAGCTTCTGATCAATAGATAAGTCATTTAGACCCGACGATAACTTTTTCGTCGTGCTTGGAAATGTCTGTTCGACAGGCTATTGGTGTTAGGATAAAGCTGAAAGGGGGTTTACATTGATGACACAAACTTTTAATTAATTTTTTATTTATTATTCTATTTGCATTATAAACAAACACTTACCTGTTTTCCTGTAACATATACCCACATTTCACACACAGTTCGGACGCTCCCGTACACGTTATTAACAGTAATGGTCATGAGTCTTTGATGTCTTATCGCGTTCAAGAAGAATTACGGTGGGGTTGACAGAGAACCAATCCTCGATTCAGGAGTGCATTGCGAGTTTCCCTGAGCATGTACAGATCTATACTGATGGCTCAATAGATGGTGAAAAAAAAAATCGCAGCAGCATTCTGCACTAATCACCACTGTTCTTCAGTTCGTCTACCAGATGGTACCTCTATTTTCTCTGCGGAACACTGTAAAACATCTGTGTAAAGTTACACTCTAATAACACCAGATTTTGTGAGATTTTACACCAATTACTGTGTTGTATAACATTGTACATTAGAGTTGGTGTAAAATGACACTATTTTCTGAACTGTGTAATGTAACGACGAATTCAGTGTAAGTAAAGCGGGTTTTAGGTGTAGCCTTGATCAACAATGCTGTAGGTGGTGTAAATTTACACCTCCTAATTTTTCGGGTAAAGCTATACTTAATTTACACAGACTTTGGTGAAACTTTACAACAATAACAGGTGTCACATCACATAAAACGAACAAAAATGGTATTGTAAAATACATTATTTCTTGGCCGAGTAATGTTGCTTTGTTGCTTTATAGTGTAGGGGGAGACCGGGGAACAGTGAATCGGGGAAATTGTTTTTTTTTTAAATATTACTCCTTATCAAAAGGCAGAATTGATTGTCTTTTAAATGCAAATGATAATGACCCATGGTCAGTGTTTACACATGCAAAATATTACATGCCAATTTTAACCATTTAAAATATACAAGTGTTTGAATTTTTTAAGCTGATTCACTGTGCCCTGGCACCGTGGAACAGTGGATCATCACCTGGGGCACTGTGAATCAGACCATCACATGGGGCACTGTGAATCAGACAGTGAAATCAGTGGACCATCACCTGGGGCACTGTGAATCAGACAGAGAAATCAGTGGACCATCACATGGGGCACTGTGAATCAGACAGAGAAATCAGTGGACCATCACATGGGGCACTGTGAATCAGACAGAGAAATCAGTGGACCATCACACATGGGGCACTGTGAATCAGACAGAGAAATCAGTGGACCATCACATGGGGCACTGTGAATCAGACAGAGAAATCAGTGGACCATCACATGGGGCACTGTGAATCAGACAGACAGAGAAATCAGTGGACCATCACATGGGGCACTGTGAATCAGACAGAGAAATCAGTGGACCATCACCTGGGGCACTGTGAATCAGACAGAGAAATCAGTGGACCATCACATGGGGCACTGTGAAGAGAAATCAGACCATCACATGGGGCACTGAAATCAGTGGACCATCACCTGGGGCACTGTGAATCAGACAGAGAAATCAGTGGACCATCACATGGGGCACTGTGAATCAGACAGAGAAATCAGTGGACCATCACATGGGGCACTGTGAATCAGACAGAGAAATCAGTGGACCATCACATGGGGCACTGTGAATCAGACAGAGAAATGAGTGGATTGTTCTCTCTAAACAGGATAAAAAATTACAAACATAAATGTTTTGCAAACAAAATTATTTATTCGATAATTAAGGAAAACCAAATTCAGTCTAAATGCAGTAATTTAGACCACAAAATTATCTATCTATGAACAGCAACATGTGTGACTAGGTGTCTTCTAAAGTCACACGAGTAAAATTGCCACTAAAATATCGTAAGTAAGGGAACTGTCTATTCATGAACAGCAACATGTGTGACTAGGTGTCTTCTAAAGTCACATAAACAAATTGAAATGGGTAAACAAAAAGTAAGTCATCAAAACTGTCTATCCTTTTGTCCAATGACAAGATGTTTGACTGGTTGTCGGATTTTTAAATTCATTTACGGAACAAATTTTGAACAGGCGTCAAAATCCACTGGGAATAAAGCTCCCTAAAAGAGTGTTCCGCACGTGCTCACTCCTAATCGCTTCTATAAATGCGGTCGTGCCATATGCGGTACAGTATACTGAGGTTTTGTACACTGTTCCGTATTCTTGTGAGTACACGTTAACCGTGTCTTTATTTCATGATATTTATGAATGAATTTCCGTTATTGTCTACGCAAAAAGTTTATCTGTTTGAAGATGTGTAATTACGAAAGGTTCAATCTTTAATTCGTTTATTTAACTTTTTATCAATTGTTGTAATTTGCATCCTGTCGATATTATGCATGATCTAGGGCACAGTAGTATGAATGTCAAGTTTATATAATTCAGATTGGTTTAAATAAACATGTTAGATATAACCTCGTGGAATAGGTGGTCATGGCAGGGACTTTTTGGGAAATTTTCAGCAAACACAAATAGACTTCCCTGACAGTGGAAGAGACTTCTCGGATAGTGGAAGAAAGTCGGTATGTATCCAGAAATATAATAATGCAATTTATATCAGAAGAGAGAGAGATAGAGAGAGAGAGAGAGAGAGAGAGAGAGAGAGAGAGAGAGAGAGAGAGAGAGAGAGAGAGAGAGAGAGAGAGAGAGAGAGAGAGAGAGAGAGAGAGAGAGAGAGAGAGAGAGAGAGAGAGAGAGAGAGAGAGAGAGAGAGAGAGAGAGAGAGAGAGAGAGAGAGAGAGAGAGATTAAAATCTGTTAGAGTTAAGTATATAGTTTATATATTCCTAGAGTGTATACATACCAAAGTCCTAACGCCTAAGCGGAACGATCATGTTTACCTCAACCTACACTACTTGACCTGTGAAGAACCACACGAAATGTGGCTTATTCTATCAAGTATGAAAACATGAGTTAAGTGCGCTTAATGTACTTATATTTTGTAACACAAACTCAAGGATCGGTGTTGATACAAATCTGCGCATGCGAAAAACAAGCAGGAGTCAATATTAAAAACAAAAACAAAAATTATCAACACAATCGTTGTTTGTTTTTTGGGTTTTTTTTTCTTTTGAAAAATATAATTGAAATCAAATTTCATTAACGCTTTCACCTCTTTTATTAACTATTGTATGTAGCATAGAATAGCGAAATAGATCAGACAGAAAAATCAAACACACAAACAAATAAACAAAAACAAACCGACAAAATGAATTAAGGACGCTCTACACCAAGCTAAAGATACACAGAAGAAAATAGACACTTCGAGAAAAATGAAAATAAAAACGAAAGAACAAAGATTGAGACAAAAATAAAGACCGCAAAGTTCAATCATCACTTATGACATGATTGTACCGAGTCCTTATATTTTTTGTTTCTTCTTAATGTCCCTCTTTATTCTTTTTATCAATTTGGACCGCGTTAATGAACGTCTGCCAAAGTAAGGAAGGTTAATGATACTACATATTAAAATCATTGACACAATGGATTGAACGCATAATGACTAGTT